AGTTTTTTGCAAAAAGATTCCCTGGGTTTGTTTGCTTTAAACCTGATGCCTGGTAATTTCATCGAGTGCCTCCTGCTTCTTGTACTAGGGGGGAGAATAAAGGATCCTTTTCCAGTCGCCGCCTCATTTGCAATTTTATGGATCTTTGGGTTCTCAGTTTTCTCTCTTCTTCCAAGCTGAATTCTCCCAGTCTACTTAGTACATCTGTCTACAGAGGCTGTTCTATATCTCCTTTTTCCCCCTCTTTTGAGCTCTACTTTTGAGTCGATCTGACCAGAACATTCATTTCCTCGCTTTGCCCAAAAAGGCTGAATGAAGGCAGTTTTTTTCAGAGCACGAAGGGATGTTTACTTCTAAATGGACACTTTGTAGCTCGTCTGTGATACTAATGTAAGCTTTTAGTGTGTGTGTAATGTTTTACATGCCCAAGTGCAAGTGAACATGCTGCAAAAGCTATTTTACTGGACCGAGTAAGATATTTATGTTGTATTAGGAGCTTCTGCAGTTGCTTTTCCTTTAGTGGCTTTGTTTTTTCAGTGGGTAAATATCCATGTTAGGACCTGCTCGGAGCAGTGTCTGGGAAATGTTAGTGAAAAGGTTAAAGCAGGTTGAAAAGAAAAAAAAAAATCCCTTTAATCCAAGCCTGGACCAAGGAGAGGGTTCTTCCAGGCCAGGGTTTGGGCATACATGGGAAGTGGAAAGTCTTGCCTTGTTACTGTTCGTCTGATACCCGTTTGTGGGTAAATAAAAGGAATTTCAGTTTTCAAGGCCAGGAAGCGCTCCTTTTTGGGTATTCAACTTTACCTCCATAATTGAGTTATTAGGAAAAGCAAGGGTAAAAGGGCGCTGACACAACCGCATTCCGCCTTGCTTCGACTTGTTGGGGATTCTTTACAGGCGCTTCCGTTTCGGAGGTGGCTGCTTGGTTCCGTGGCTGGGACACCCTGGCGAGCTGGCCGTGGTCCCCGCTCTCCCTTGCTTCATGAGGTCTCCACAGTGAGCAACTTGGCCTTGATCCCCTTTGCTCTTTACGCAGGTTTTCCACCGCGCTGCTTGTCGGCACAGGCTTCTCCTACCCCCGGCGTTCCTGCAGCTTCGGGGAGAGTGAAAATTTGCATTGTGCTCCAGAAAAAATGCTTTATTTTAGTTAACCTGCATTCCATTAATCAAGCTGGAAGCCTTCCTTCCTGATCCGGAATAAAAGAGAGGGGAAAGTGTCATTTCTTGTCTTCTGCAATAGTGCTACTAGGGATATCTTGAATTATACCAGAATATTTTGGCACACAGCATGCTGCTTTCCTTCGGATTTCTTTCATGTAGTACTTCCCAAAAAAAGGACTTGGGGATTTGGGGGATTTTATTAGCAGTTTGGGAGGGCAATCAGCTCGAGTAGTTTTTTTTTCTTTGAATTTATTGATATACTCAAAGAGCTTCTGAAAGCGATGACTGAAATGCTATTGGTAGCCATGGTAAAACCAGAAAAAAATAGCTTTCTGGAATTAGTTTAAAATAGGAGGTTGCTCCATGTGACAAATAAAAGTGCTTTATGGATATTTTTCAGCAATTCGTAGCACTTAGATGGTTTTAATGTTTAACTTGTATTTTTCCAGCTATTGCTTTTCACATATTATTCTTGCAACATGGAAGAATTATTTAAACTGTTACTTCCCGCACATAAACTTCACACTTTACACTGCAGTTTCAACAAGTTAAATCTGGGGTCTTTGCAGTAAAAGAGCCAACTTCAAATATTCTGACCAAAGTTGGAAAAAACTCATAGCTAGAGGAAACAAGACTTTAAAGGGGAAAAAAAAAATGCCATGGTATAAAAATATAGTCAGGATATTGTGCAGTTTATGTATGGCACATGCAGCTGTACTGCCCTGATTATTGTAATCTCTTTATTTAATTAGATTTTGTGATTAAGAACTACCTTGCTGATTAGCACACCTAATGTGTGTGCATCGGTTCTAGCCACTACATATTTTTTAACTGAAATTCTTCTGGTAAAGTCAAATGATCTGAAAGGATCATTTTTAGAGACAAGTTAAGGGGCAGGTGCATTGAGGGCGGAAAAAAAAACTTTAAGGAGGTTAAAGTGGATAATGACAAACACCTGACAAAAATGAGATATTGAAATAGACTGGTTGGGCTCTGGGTCATGCTTTAAAATCTTTCTCCATAGTCACTTTTAACTGGTTAGCTTCCATTACATAGCAGAAGCCTGTTGTTAGCTCCCTAGTATATAATCCTGGGGTTTAGGTTTTTAATTTTTCCCCAGTAAATGCCAATCTGAGGCTTTTTTTTTTCCTGAAAATGCTTGGAAAAAAGCATTGACTTTTTTCTCCTGAAAAAGAAGCATCATCAAGTTAGTTTGGCACACTTTACCTTCAGTAAACACAGGTGGCATCCCATTTTCTGTTTGTTTGTTTAATTTTCATTCTTCCTTTTCTTCAGCCTGTCTTCACTTTGCCAGATTCCCACAGTTATATACAAACAGCTTATGTATCACTGCTGGTCTTTGACAGAGCAAAACATCTTCATATTTGTAAATAAGCAGCGTTTCAGCACTAAATATTTGGGGACAAAATTAACACAGGGTTAGCGTTGCCAAACTTTCTGGCAGGTGTGTCCCACAAAATGAGACAGTTAAAAAAAAATACAGGTTTGCAATTAAGTTCTCTTGCCAACTTGAGATGGATCAGAAGAAAGTCTGGTCCTATAGGCCATGTATAAGAGGTGACGAGGTACAAGAATAAATCCAGAAGCGTCACTTTCACGAGGAAGTGGCAAAGCAGAGCTGCACGAGGTGGAATGTGGCTCCTCGTGGGCTTTAGGGACGTGGCCTTGGCGTCTGTCACCCATTCCATTCAGGCAGGTGACTTCTTAATTCTGCCAGATGCAGCAGTTGGAAGGGGTTTTTTCTGGTTCCCAGCACGCATCTTGGGGCTTTCAAACAGATGTGGCCCGCAAAGGATACGGTGAAGATGTGAAGTTCTGTCTCGAACAGCTTTGGAGACCTCTGCAAGCTCGTGAATGAGGGGGACGAGTGGTTTTGATCAAAATGGAAGAGAGGGCTTAAGCAGCTAAGGCACAGTCACCAAAAACAGTATGTGTGTTTTAAATGGTGGGATTGACGAATAATTGGGGGCTCTGATATCTTGAAGATCTTCTAGATTCAGGACCCACCAGGAGGTGGAAGACGTCACCTTGCACAAAAGTAGTGACAAACACTGAAATTTTGATGTTTTAGTCATGCAAACTTGGCTGGATAGTCAGGATTTCGTTGTCACAGATGAGAGGAGAGAAGTCTTTGGTTGTTACCTGCGCTCTCGACCTTCCTTTAAAATGTACACGTAAAACATTGTAAACATTTTCTAATTTTACCCTTTCTGAATGATTCTTTTGCAGCTGACCCTGTCATCTCAATATACAATAAAGCTGTTTTGTAGAATGAATTGCCTCTTTTGGCACCTTGCTAATTGTCTCGATGCTTTCAGCAGCTCAGGCATCAAAATGAGATTTGCCTTGTGCAAAGCTCCCCTTTTCCATCATCAGGGAGCTCCTTTGCTGCTGGAGTGTCGTCAAGAGCGAGAGGCTCTTTTCCGTGAGAACAGGGTCTGCATGTGCAGAGGGTTGTCCCAGGAGAAAAAAAAAACAAGATCTTTCTAAGCACCATATTACAAAAATCATGATTTGAGCTCTGATGTAAGGGCAGGAGGTGGCCAAGTTGCTGCATCTTTGGTATATAAAAGTAGACAGCTCACATAAGCAAAAATTTCCAATTCTGGTGTCATTTTTACACAGCATAATATACATTTTCATATGTTTATCATTCCTGAGCACCCAAACTTGACATAAGTATTTAATCACTGTTGCAAAGGGGGATTAGCTCTAGTCTATATGAACCCATAACTGTTTTTGCTGAAACAGTAACCACGAGCTAAGTTTTTTCAAAGTCCTTAAAGGTCAGGTCTATATTAGTGCCCTAGGCCACCAAGAGATTAAAAATGGGAACTGAACCGTTTAAAAACCTGAGTCCTTGAGCTCTTACTGCCTTACTAAATGTAAGAAATGGATATTATTCCCCCTCTCTGCCAGCTTTTTGGAAAACAAGATGCATACGTGTCCTTTCCACACCAAAGGCTGCTTAGGAGCCACTTGTTTGAATTGTGTCAGTGGAAGGAAGGGGAAAGTCACTTTATCCGAGTCTCCCAAGGCGGCAACGACCCACATTTGTGGCAGGCAGGACTGTAACACATTTAAATCAATGTATTGCACAGCACTGGCTTCCCTTCCCTTATTTTAAATTCTGTAACCAGATCAAGGTCAAGGAAGTCAAGGGATGAGAAAGGAAGCCAGAAGAGGGGAGAGGAGGGTGGGAAGAGGGAAGCGGGACAAGGGACGGTTCAGAATCTGGATCTTCGATGCCTCTTGAGGTCAAGGTGTTTTTTTTTTCCACTGCACTTAACATCTTCCTCTACAGCAGCTTGCAATTTTATTGAAATCCAAATGGCTATCACAGTTCAACTCTGACTTTTTTACGCAGTTTGGTGCTAAATCACTCCATAAAGTGCAAAGGAAAGCAGGAGGATACTGGGAAGAACCTTCTCTGAGAGCTTTGCTTCCTCCTGCACATTTAAGCAGACCCAAACCAATGCCATCCTTACTTAAAAATCATTCAACAAAGTCCCTAGTGCGCAAGAGCTTAGGAGCAATCGATTCCCAAGCCGAGAAAACGATCATCATAATAAAAAACAGGTTTCTTGCACAGATGATAGTTGCAAAAATACTTTCTTTTTAGTATTACAGACACTTTTGATGTTACAGGCTGGATCCTAAAAAAAAAACGTGGAAACACAACCTTGAAATATTCTGCTACAGTGGAAGAAAGTTCTTGCTACAGAGCCTTATAATGATGTATTCACTTACCTCTTGCTTTCAGAGATGCAAGGTACTTTAATGTGAATAACGGAGTGTTTTCCTTCTCTTTTAGCATACCCGTGATCTCTTGCATGCGGAAAGAACGCTAGCAGAAAGTGAGAAGATGGGTGTAAAAACATTTACTCATAATTCCCCTGCCCATAGCCAGGAGATGCTGGGAAAGCTCAACATGCTTCGCAACGACGGCCACTTCTGCGATATCACCATCCGTGTCCAGGACAAGATCTTCCGGGCGCACAAGGTGGTTTTGGCCGCTTGCAGTGACTTCTTCCGCTCCAAACTCGTTGGCCAAGCAGAAGACGAGGGCAAGAGCGTGTTAGACTTGCACCACGTCACGGTGACTGGCTTTATACCCCTCCTGGAATACGCCTACACCGCAACACTATCTATTAACACCGAAAATATTATCGACGTGTTGGCTGCGGCCAGCTACATGCAGATGTTCAGCGTGGCCAGCACGTGCTCCGAGTTCATGAAGTCGAGCATTTTGTGGAACACGCCCAACAGCCAGCAGGAAAAGGTGCTGGACGCCGGGCAGGAGAGCGGCGCCAACTGCAATTTCACTTCTCGAGACGGCAGCCTGTCCCCCGTGTCCTCGGAATGCAGCGTGGTGGAAAGAACCATTCCCGTGTGCCGCGAGTCGCGGAGGAAGCGCAAGAGCTACATCGTGATGTCCCCCGAGAGCCCGCTCAAGTGCAACACGCAAACCAGCTCCCCCCAAGTGCTCAATCCTTCCACTTCGTTCCCCGAGTCCAGGAGCCAGCCTGTAGACTCCTCCTTAGCTTTCCCCTGGACTTTTCCCTTCGGGATTGACCGAAGACTTCAGTCCGAGAAGGTGAAGCAGGTGGAGAACTCGAGGACTTTGGAAATGCCCGGCCCCTCGGAGGCGACCCGGCGCATTTCCGACTACGTGGCTTGCGAGAGCACCAAAGGCAGCTCGCCCCTCGTGATCGAGGAGGACGTGCGTGTCAAAGTGGAGCGCCTGAGCGACGAGGAGGTGCACGAGGAGGTTTCGCAGCCCGTCAGCGCGTCCCAGAGCTCGCTGAGCGACCAGCAGACGGTCCCCGGGAGCGAGCAGGTGCAGGAAGATCTCCTCATCAGCCCCCAATCTTCCTCTATCGGTACGACGGGCTCCGGGGTTGGATATTTGGGCAAATAGATGCGTTTGCACTTGCTGTTTTATCAGAGGAAACCTCCTTTGCACCAGATGTAGAACCTTGTGTAATCATAGTAAGATTTGCAAAATAAATGGGGGAACGCTGGCATTTTAATGTCCCAGACAAAACCAAAACCACTCAGTCGTAATACTGAGAATCTTTCCATTTCTGTGGGATTTGCCTCTTAAGTCGCTTCTCAAACCCTGCCAAGCGCTGAGTGAAACTTTTGTCTTTCCATGAAAGACAATTTGAAGCCAATTTGGGGCTCTCTCTCTTAATCAACAACAGCCTGGTGTTTATTAATAGCTAATACTTAAAGATTGCTCCTCCTTGCTCAGAGTGCACCGAATTTCTAAGTCAGGAGAGAGGCGCTTTACGTTATTTGTAGTTTAATTACCAAGATTTTGCACAGCTCAGCTCTTTTCCTTCAAATTAAGTGGCTTGACCCGTACTCAGTGGCAGGTTTGTTTATTGAGGGATTTCTAATAAAGCCTGTTTTACTCGAGAGCCATAAGCACGGGGAAGGCACTCACTGGAATGATGTGCCTGTGAAATACCACTTCAGTTAGTAAAACAAATCGAATAATATAAAATAAATAAATGTAGCCTTGTAGGCCACGTTATTGTTTTTGTCTGGTCAGTGTAATGCCGTGCAGAAAGCGAACGTTCAATCAATCTGATCATGCTGGGAATGCAGTAAATAACTAAATGTTGGTTTTTATATATATATATATGTATAAATATATATATATATCTCCTAATGCTCAAATGCCTCTTACTGAGGATATTAATACAGCTTGTTCTTGCTTAAAAAGATGACAGCGAGAAAAAGCGATACCAGCCCCAGGTCCTCCAAGTGCTAATCTGTTCTTTGTCTTTGAATAAGTTGGAATTATTATATAGTGTTCTTTGCCTAAGATTTTCAACTGTCTGGATAATAGGTCTTATTCCCATTTTGCCATAAAGGGAAATAAAGGTGTTGTTTTTTTTCATACAGTTCACATGTACCAAGTATATGCGAAGACACTCTTTGCATCTCAGAAAGCACTTTCCACCTCCCAAAGATGTATTTCCTCATGTGGTAGTGTAAGAACAGTAAATGGAGCCAGAAAGATATGTTGAAATGTGGCTTCCTTTTCCCTGAACGTATTTTCTTTGTATAATTGCATATATTTATCTCCGTGTTTTACAGTGCATTTAGAAAAGCGTTGCTGCTTTTTGATATTACTGAGAACTCTCGTTGCCTCTTTGGGCAATTTCAAGGATTGTTCATTTGCAGTTTCTTATATTTGGCAGTGCTTTATGATATGGAGGGAGACATGACACGGGACCTTCATAAATAAGTCATTATGGCAACAACAATAAGCATGGTTGAGAAGATATTTTCATAACTCATTAACGGTGGTCACTCGGGAGGTGAAGGCTTAGAAATAAAATTAAAGGCAATTGACAGCAGCAAGGTTGGACTCTATTGCTTATGAAATAGTGCCCTTTAAGTGAAAGTATTTTTTTTTCTTTATGGTGTTAAATTGAGTGTATTTTGAAAGCTCTCACTGTATTTAACGTAGATTATCTTCATTTTCTAGATGTGCCAAATATTTGCCATATACTGAGGCTCCTGATATGTATTTATCCACCCTGCTGCCCTTTTGGAGTGCTTATTTTGCATTAAATTGCCTTTTTTTTTGTCCTTTGCCTAGGCTCAATAGATGAGGGGGTGACGGAGGGATTGCCCACACTCCAAAGTAGCTCTGGCACCAACGCTCACGCCGATGACGATGATCGGTACGTACCAAAGAAGCGTTCACACCGTTCCTCCTGCTGAGCTCTAACTAACCACCCAGCCTTAATCTCACACTATTCAGCGCTTCGTACATAAAATTCTCCGTGCTGATCCAAGAACAAGCAGTGCCCCAAGGATCAGATGCTTTAGAAAAATGCAGGTGATGAAAGTCCCCCTTTGCTTGGTTGCTTCTCATTTCCTGCGCGTTTCCAGGCCGCACCGGTGCCGAAAGACAGCCACGTTTTGGCTGTTCCTTCCCCACTGCTCTTTATTAACAAACAAAAAAGGCTTTGTTGGGAAGCAGGTGTGGTTGTTGCCTGCATACTACAGCTGACACAAACCCACAAAAGCAGCAGAATCAAAACATCTACCTGGACTTGGCTTCTCCACTGCCATAAACCGCAGAAGAGGCAGCCCAGCCTTAAATCTCCCCAAACTTTCAGCATGCAGCGTTTTAGCAGCCTTTTACCAACGTGCTCTGTCACTCTGTGCAAATATTTAGCTGCCTTTTGCTGGGCTGCGACGAGTGATTTATGAGCAGGCTGAAAGTAGGTGGAACTAAGATTGTTCTGCTTGGTCAAAGATGTGCAATAATTCTGGTACCTGCACGTACAAAGGTGCACAAAATTGATTTAATCTCCATCGCTTTGCTTTTGTGGTGCATTATCTAGTGTGGGGTATAGCTAGCTCTTCTTTTTCATAGCAAAACTTATAAACTATTGTCAAGCTGGCTTTTATGGTGTATTTTGGTAGGCAAGTAGGTCTGAGTAAGAAGCATGAACCCTTGGGAGTTAGTCCAGAAACTGTGTCAAGTGAAACTCCCTATAGAGATAAGTATCAAGAGCTGCATTTTTATTGCTCCAAAAATCTTTGCTGCCATTTCTGTCTAAAACCTGCCCCATTGTAGGATTAAATCTGAAGGGAAAATAACTGCCTAGAAGAGAGTTTGTGTGTGACAAAGAAGATTTTCACCACCTGCTGCCTTCTATTGTGCAAACCTCAGTATAAAAATAATATCCAGCACTTAGAGTTTTGATTGATAATAGAAGCACTTGTTGCATTAGAACTAATCCCATCTTTTTTAAAGCTATAACTCTAAAGTCAAGTTGCATATGAGTTTTCAGCAGTGGATAATTTCAGATATTTCCCATAAAATTGCAGAGCTTCAACAAAAGTGGCAGAGAAAATTCAAAGTGTACGCGGGCTTTTTATGCACCGTGAAATTTCCTACTAAAAACTCTCTATTTGGCCTGGTTTATGCCCAAGTTTGAATATAACTAGTTTCAGAATAAAAGTAACATCATCAAAATGAACTGGAATCAGTGCATTGTTTATATAATGCTAAGGGAACTAATAACCTTGCGTGTTTATAAAAATTTTGCACTCCAGAGCTAAGATTTTCTAACAAGTGATCTATTTTATGACTTTGAATGAAAGTTAGAAGACAAGACTTGTGCCATAAATCAGTTAAATAGGTAAAATGGTGCTTTAGTGTCCTAAAAAGCTGTTTTTCACATGCCTGTGTATTCAGGCCTCTCGGGAGGGGACAGCACATTCTGATGTGACGGCCCTTTGAGCACTGGCCTTTTCAGTTCCCATTTCAAGCACAGGATGGGGCATCAGCAGATAAATCTGGCCCGTGATTCTCCCCGCAACGTTTTGGCTGCGCATCTAAAAATGAGATTATGCAGGATTCTGAATCCAGGCCAGCATCGAGCAGCAGCTGAATCAAATTAAAACACAATCAACATATCATACAGATGCAGAAAAATGTCCTCACTTTTTTGCTTGTTTTTAAAAGCATTTTCGTCCAAGTCCCACGTTTTACATTGCTTTATTACTATAGATTCTCAAAACAGCAAAACTGGCGCTGAGTGACCAGCGCAGATTTAGATTGGAAGCCCCATTTTTGAATATATAGTCACTATATATCTATTCAGAACACAAAATAAAAGAATAGTCTGTGCAAAAGCCTTTCAATATGGCACTCTCTTCACTGTGGAAACAACTGTAAATATTTTAAAAGCCAGGATGTTTTCTCTCTTCCCTTTCTTTCTTAAATAATTAACAAAATTAATTGGTCCTCCTCCATAATCAATTACTTTCAAAGAGTAAGTCACATGTACATTGCTCGACGTTTAACAGGCCTTTCTGCTATGGCCTGTGTCTAATTTTTCACATTTGGACTGTGATACAGTTTCAAAATTCAGCTTTGGCTGTGTAGGTTTGTGGCCCCATTTAAAGAGGAATTGCAAAGGCTAAAATCTGAAGGATTTGTAAGGTCTAATATAACGAGACCCACCATTTTCTAAAGCATGTGTCATTTACAAAGAGAGGACATTTTTAGACTCAGAGCATTCTGGTGTCTGTGTTTGCCAGCATTTAGTTCTGCAGAGCTGGAGATGTTTATAATCTGTGAAAAGAAAAAAAAATGCAAGTGAAATATTTAAGTATTATGGTTAAAATATTTAAATACCGTTTCATCTAACTCTTGCAGAAATTCTGTTAGAAAATAAACAAATTCAAATGGTAAATCCCACATTCAGCACAAAATGCAGGTCATGGAAAGTTAAGTGAGTATATGGAGGGGAAAAGAAGCAGGGCAGAGAAAATACAGCTGTGTTTTAAATGTAATTTCTTCATTGTCCTAAGGTCCTCAGATATGTCACCAATAGGTATTTCAGCCTGCCTGCAATGTCAGGATGTCACTGGTAGCAGGAGAGCCCCATGTTTCCCATTTTATTTCCTTTAAACAGTATTCTTAATCGTAGGAATTTTTAACAGAGACATTTTGAATCTCCTCTGTCCCCATAGTGCTTCTTCCCTTTCTGGTTCGTAGTTGCCCCTGTTTCTTTCCCCACAACATCTATCTAATCCATTGGAATTGAGGATATAAAACTGCTTTGCTCTGGCCACGGTAGCTGTCACCCGCAGGGAATATTCGTGGCCAGAGCAGTTCCCTGCTGCCAGTGACGCCTGATCCGAGCAAGCTGAAATGTCTATTGCAACCAAAATAAAACCCCTAATTCTCAAGGAAGGGAAGTCCCAGGTAAGTCCAAATTCCTGTTGTTTTACTGTTTGTAGCAGCAGGTTGGTTTTCCTTTGACTGTGCCCTTCAGTGAAGGAAATAAATACCTTGCTGGAGGACGTGAATTCTAACAGCGTAGTTCCATTAGCCAGTTTACAGCTGGAGGGTATGCAGGAGCAATTAGTCAGTTTTAAGTAACTTATTTGAAAGTTAAATTGTTCCTGTATTACAGCCTCTGTGCTGTTTCTTAAATGCAGCACTTGTGCTGCTCACACAGACTTGACTGAGTCAGACCAGAAGCAAGTATTGATTAATTAAATTTTCAACATAGAAATACGGAATTGTAGATCCTAGTGATTGCTCATTGAGCCTGGATTGGAATTAAAAACAAATCTGTTTTAATTGCCTTTGTAAATACCACTGAAAGTGTGAAATACTTCTTGGCTTTCAAGTTTGCTCGGTTCTTTAAATCTCAGGGCCTATTTGCTGACCAATATGAAAAAAATACCTGCACTTGAAAAATGCTCATATCTAAAAAAGTAATTTCAGTTTGCAGCTCATATTCAGACCTGCTTCCCCCCAAAACAGACAGAAATTAAAGATTATTCTCTGTTTCTGATCAGATGTACAAAGTCAGTGAGTATGAGACTTCAGATATAGGTCAGAGCTGTAATTACAAAGGGAGAGAAACAGAACTGGTTGAGGCCTGTCTTTTTCTTTCCTTTTCTTCTCCCACATCCAGTGTTGCAATGTTCCAGCACAAGGCTGATTTTCTCCCCTCGCTCGCTTGTAAACCAGCACCTTTTCTCTTTGTAGTTTGGAGAACGTTCAGTACCCCTATCAGCTCTACATCGCTCCTTCCACCAGCAGCACAGAGAGACCCAGCCCAAACGGCCCAGATAGACCTTTTCAGTGCCCGACCTGCGGGGTCCGCTTCACTCGCATTCAGAACCTAAAGCAACACATGCTTATCCACTCAGGTAAGAAACCATTTATTATGGGACATAATAAGCATTTATGATCACTTATTAACTTACAGACCGCCAAAGGTTTGCTCCCCGTGCAGCAATTCTCTTCTAATCACTTGTCAAGTGCTTGAGAGTTGATTTGAGAAGGATTGGGTAGAGGAACACGTGTTTTGATCCATCAAACCTGCCTGGTAGCTGCACTTATGTGTGATTAACGTTTGTATGGATGTGCAAAACTTCTGCTTGCCTGGAAGCCGTCCGAATAAATCATTCCCGTGCTAAAACGTGAGATGAAAGGAAGTATAATTGGCTTTTTTATTACATTAAATAAGTGGTGTAGATTGATACTTCTTCTTAGACACTGTAATTGTCTACTGTGTTGTAGAGGAGACTCACAGCCATAAAAAATACTGTTTATCTTTCGTGCTTGGGTTGAAGAATGTCATACATTTCTGAATCTCGTAATTTTGGGGGGATTTTAGAACAATTTATTTGGTTTGATAATCAATTCAGCAACTAGAGATAGTGCAGGTAGCAAAAGGCTTCACTTTTTTTCAATGTCAGCATTTTTTTGTGACATCCCTTCAAGGAAAATAGCCACAGCTAAACAGCTTGGGCTGATGTGACCACTGGCAAGCCCTGAGCAAGGCTGGGAGAGATCTGAATACGGGTTTTAGAGAAAACAGAGTGCAAAGGAAATTCTTATATATTGCTAAAGTTGAAAGTGTTTTCGCATAAGCCAAAGGGCTGAAGAGATTTTCCTCAAACTTCATGCAGAAAGAGATGCCTTTGGACAGTCAGCAAGCCTGAAAAGTTTTATATCCACAGGGGAATATTTTTGAATATTAACTTGTTTTCACATGCTTGACGAGGAGTATAACCTTAACTGCAGTTTCACTATATGAAAGCCCCAATTAAAGTTTCGGCTCCTACTTTGGACACAAGGAAAGCAAGAGTGAAAAACTACCAGCCTGCAGGGACTGATGCACATTCAGCCCTATGGAGAAAATCTTTTTTCCTCCTTGACGTCTTTGGTATGAGTTGAGTTCCCAATCCCAGATTCTTGCTCTTGCCTTTGGATTTCTGGGGTTCAGACTTTTTAGTGACTCTTCCCTTTGCAGTGATTTCAGTGCAGCAGTTCTGTTTGGGTGGGTTCTCTTTGGGTGGGATCACCTTTTTTGTTTTGCTGCAAAGCCCATATGGTTGAGGAGTTTATTGCCTTGTATAACAAACAAAAAATGCACTAGAAGCAGGATTTCTAAATTAATATGAGAAAAAAAAGAGACACACGAACTTAAACATCTTAGAGAGCTGCCTGTCACGCCAAGCTGCTAAAAATTTGTGTATCAGAGGCTTCCCACACAATCTAAAGGCTGTTTCTTCACCGTTTTGTCACCATTCGTGCTGCATTACAGGGGCAGTGCTGCCAAAACGCTTCACGGGGGCCAGAGGCAGCCAGAAAAAGACGTTGCAATTAAGGGTAGCCTGCAAATCGCGTTGTTGGGAGGCTGCCTGGCACAGGCATCTTGCAGGATCAAAAGCGTTCCGAGGCCTTCGGAGGTGCCAGCTGCATCCGAGGGGTTGTAGCCGTGACTCAGGATCGTAACCGTAGCCTAATCCGTGGAAACGGTGAAGAAGCAGCGTGAGAGTTAACGATGGATCGCGCCGTTACGAAACCTATTGGCTGCCGCCTCCGAGTAATCGTAGCTCCACGCTAATTATTTCTGCCGTTTTAAAATTAAACAGGCCCCCTCTTCTGAGATCAGCGCTTCGCCTCGACCGCCCGCAGCTGGTGTCCTCTTGGTGCTGGCAGCCCGGCGGGGTGTTGTGCAAAGTGACCCTTTCCGCTCTCTCTCCCGCAGGCATTAAACCATTTCAGTGCGACCGCTGTGGGAAAAAGTTCACCCGCGCTTACTCGCTCAAGATGCATCGCCTGAAGCACGAAGGTAAACGCTGTTTCCGGTGCCAGATATGTAGTGCCACTTTCACTTCCTTCGGGGAATATAAACACCACATGCGGGTTTCCCGGCACATTATCCGCAAGCCTCGGATTTACGAGTGCAAAACATGTGGCGCCATGTTTACCAACTCTGGAAATTTAATCGTTCACCTGAGGAGCTTGAACCATGAAGCGTCAGAGCTAGCAAACTACTTCCAGAGCAGGTGAGGTGCACAGCAAAAACCTAACAGGGAAACTTGTTTTTTTTTTCTTTTTTGTTTTTTTTTCATAAATCATCTCTTCCTGCTTTCAGGGCAGCCTGCTGTGCCTCTCATCAGGTTGCCAGCTAATTCCAGTCCAATTCATTCCTGCACCGCTATCTGTTATATCTGTTTTGCAGTGTCAAAAGCGATATATGAGGGCACTGAAGAATCCAGTGGTCTGTAGAAGCTGCTTCTGGGCTGCTTATTTCTCTTTTCAGTAGTCTCTGTGAACAGGTTAATGGTTTTAAGCCGTATCGTTCTGTACGGTAGTATCCGTGGGGTTCTGTAAATGGTTTAAGGTCCAAACGTTCCCTGTTCATTCACCCGGGGAATTTAATTTTAAGTGTTTATTTGATAGTTGAATATTATGGAAAGATTACATGACTCCATACTTTCCTCAGAAATGCAGAGTAAAATCTATTGTAAATATTCTAGCATTTACAATACATCACACACGTGATTTCTGGACATTATGTTTTTCTCCCTACAAACCATTTCAGTAATTTTTTTTCTTATTTGGTTGTCTTGGAAGCGATACAAAATGAAAGCATTACAAAACAAACTAGGAAAGCCAGTCACTGTATTTTTTCCAGGAGAATATTGTTTAAAAGTACAAGTGCTCCGTAGCTATGGGTTTACGTAGTTCTTGTCCTTAGCACTTGTGCCAAAGCTAAGAGTGAAAACTTTGCTAAGAAATGATGCCATGATTGTGGTAAGCACTATGTTGTTGTCGTCAGATTAAAGTGCATGATTTTGGGTTGTTTTAGTTTGAATTTCCAAACATTAGGTTAGCAGAGCCTATTATTAATTTGGGTTTGAAGAGGTGGATGCTTTTCTGCAGAGGGAACCTCGACTGTCGCTGAAGAAAACTTACTGCTTTTAAATACCCTACAAGGACAAACTAAAGCATGCAGATAAATATGTGTGTTTGTGTATGTGTGTGTGTATATATGTATGTGCATATGTCTGCTCCCAGGACAAATTTAAAACACGGCTACGTTTGGTGCTGAGTGTTGCAAAGACATTTAATTTTCCTCATGTCTTTAATTTGTGGAAATTTTACTAGAGAGTCCAACAGATTTCCTTTAGATAACATTTGACCATCACTGAAGACAGTAAGTTATAGGACTGGTGTGCAAAAAGGCCTGTGAGCCTCAGAGAAGGAAATGAAATTCCCTTTTTTTCGTGGCGATACGATATGTGTCCCTTATACTTTAAGCAGAACCTTTGCTTCCTCTTAAGCTTCTGTTTGGAGGTTGAGCACTCCCTTCTTTCCCAATGAGCTTTCCAGCACCGCACGACGTTCCACACATGAACTTCTATTCTCATCAAGGTGATCCAATCTAGATAACAAGTTACTGTGTGGGAAATGCAGGTGCGCAGCAATGCAAAATGGGTCTCTTCCAACAAATTCTCCTTGGATATCCATGAGAATCAGGTTATAATGCTTGGTGATGATCTCGGAGCAGCGTGCAATGATTCTTTGTTCTCTGTGCAATGCAATACCTATCTTGTGTGGTGTAACTGATACAAAGAAACTGATATATGGGGTGTTTATCCGAGAAATGACATTTCTCTTCTGTCCTTTGCCCCTCTTCTAGTGACTTCCTAGTACCGGACTACCTAAACCAGGAACAAGAGGAGACCCTCGGGCAGTATGAGCTAGGGGAGCATGGCTTTGAAAGCAACTCTTCTGTCCAAATGCCTGTCATTTCCCAGGTCTCGTCGACTCAGAATTGTGAAAGCACTTTCCCCTTGGGCTCTCTGGGTGGGTTGGCAGAGAAGGAAGAAGATGTGCCCGAGCAGCCAAAGACTAACGCCACTGCTGAGGCATCCGCAGGTGACCCTCCGAAAGCGGAGCTGTCATCTATCACTATTGAATAAGTCACGGTTGGTTTTGCATTTTTGTTCTTTGGAAAGTGCCTGTGTTTGGTCCTGTACATTTTAATTTAATTTTTTTTTAAAAAAAAACAAAAGCGGGGAGATTTTCCCTTTTTACTTTGTAAGCTACGCTTTAAACCGAAAACTGCAACAGATGTTACGTTATTTTTCATGACTGAGCGATCACTTCTGTGAAACTATTTAAGACTGAGTGCACAAAAAAGATCTTGTCAGAACATCGTGGAAGCTGTGATACACTTCTAAAGAAGAACCTGTTGATTCAGATCACTTTAACTATTTCTTCTTCCACAGTTAGAAGAGCTCATTAAGTTTCTCTTGCTTCTGCAGCCCCTTTGCTTAAGGGAAAGAAATGAGAGGAAACCTTTATTAAATGACAAACAAAAGGATGCATTGGAAACCATTTATCGAACAGTTTTGACTAGTTTTGAGTGGATTGCTTGAATCTTCTGCTTATAAAATGACACTTCCTGACTCTGTGCCTGCTGGTTTTCAAAGTGCTTACTGCAAGCCTTTGCTTGGGACCGGTAAGCATTTTTGAAACTAAGTCACACTCTTTTTAAAAACACATTGTCCCTTTTCATCTCAGATGAATCTGTTTTGACAAAGCAAGTGATGTCACGCCAGGTATTCCCACTCCTTATATTCCAGTCCTTTTAGAAACTGCTTGATCGAGTAACCTGTCCAAATTCACTTAGGGAAATATTATGGTCAAAAAAAAAAGTCTAATGGTGCATTAAGAGCTGATAGGAAAGTATATACACTTAGCATATCCATGCAAGCCTGACAAACATCTCACAACTGTATCTTTCTGTAAAAGGGAAACCACACGTGAAAACTGAAGGTTTTCTCCAACTGATATTCTTAAACCTTGGCCACATTGTTTGCAGCCCTGGTCATTTCCCCCTGTCGCATATACTGTATTTTTGCTGATCTCTAAAAGCTAGCTAGAGGGAGTTTACAAATGGGGGAAAATGAGCTCTTTTGTGTATTATTGCACACTTTTTTGTTTATACATGCGCATGTAGAGTTTCTGAGATTTTTATTAGTCTGTTTTGGACAAAACACACAATTTATTCTCTTTAGAGGCCAACTTTCTAACCCAACAGGGGGTTGTTTACAAAAAGCTTATATAGCAATGATAAACTGTTCCCGTTTCAAAACATTTTAAATCCTTGCCAACTTCGTTTATTAAAAGCCATTACTCTGGCTACATGCACAGCTCAAGCAAGCAATAAATTGAAAAGTTTGCAATTTCATTTCTCCATATTTAGAAAAGGCTGCGGATTTCAGTTGTGGGATTTTCAGAGCAGGGACTCCTGTTTTGTCGAGGCTGTTTGGGCTGCTTTGCAAACTAAATTAGGAATTACACGAGGAAGTTTGTGGGGGTTTATTGCTGATCGAGTTAACTCAGTGTTTGATGCCAAATGGCTCTCGCCTACATCCGCCCCGCTGAGAGAGTAGATATTACTTGATGTTAGTATTCCAAAGGCATGATATACTCCCCTAGTTTTGAATCTGCTTTTTGAATTGTCCTTTTCTACCCAGATTTGCTTTACCCAGACGTGAGGAGGAAATGAAACCGGTAGAGAAAGGATGCCTCAGAAGCAGCAGAAGACACAAAAGTGCTATTTTATTGCGAGATCACTTTGCATTCGGATAACTGAAGCAGCTCTGATGCTCTGTAGATATGAGGCGTTCCTACTAATAGCACACTTGTGTAAGGAAGAAAGCTTATTGCCCTTTGGAAAGAGCTTTCAGTGGCTTTTAAGTATTTACCAGTTTTTCTCCATTGTGTTGTAGGTAAAAAACACACATTTTTAGTTAAATAGAATGAGCGCAGTAGGGATTTCAGTCCCTTGCACATTATTGGAGTGAAGTTTCTTCGCCAGATCTGGAGGGTGTTTAGAAACATGCTGCAAAGAAAGAAATTCACTGCTACATCTTCTATGTCTACATTTGTAAGTCTTCTTAAAAGGGCTTGGAGGAGAAATTCTTTTTTGGGGATGATGTGCTGTGAAGTAGTCCAGTGTCTCTTGATGGGCAGTATTTAAAGACCAGTTCTCTCCCACTTCTCCTTTCTGTAAATGAGAAGCCAGTGAGACAAGCAAATGCCTTTTTTTTTTTTGCTGTGTTTTGTCCTGAATTACAGGGCTTGCGACACTGAACTCAAAAATAGGGTTTTCTTCTTCCGTCTAAGTGTTATACATGTTCCCAGGTATGTTAGAAGCCTCTCTGAATCTTGTAGCAGAAAGTACTTCCACAAAAGACAGTCCCAGAACATGCAGAATTAATATTCAAAGGTCAGTCAGAGACAGACATCATCTTTTGGTAGAATCTGGTAATTCTTTCCCCTTCCATATTTTGCTAAACAGTTTACTTGTCATGAGATATGCAAATACAGAACAGACATTTCTGGCTGCTGGGCTTTGAGAAGATTTAAAATCTGTGTCAGCAGGTAGGCTGCTTTCTGAATACCAAAGAGCAATTAAAGAACTAGTTCCAAGGACCTTATAGCTCTAATCTGTTCTTGCAAAGAAATGATTATCATCAGCCATTAACACCCTGGTACCAGACGAGTCATGAGTTTCCTTGTTCTCTGTGTTACACCTAACCTTTTCAGCCCCTTAATCTCTGTGTAACATCTTAGTTTTTCTCACTTTTCAACCTGGTTCAGCTGCAGGAACAATACAGTTCTTACAGTTTGGGGTTTTTTTAGAAATAGGCTTTTTTGTCAATTCTCCCATTTGCAATTTTGTGTGTGTGTGTGTCTAGTTAATGTACAATTTTCCCATAGAAGTAAATGCAAATTAAAATAAAGCGTAATTTTGTTTCTCCCCCCCTAACTTTTTGGAAGTGCTCTGGAATGTTCCCGTTCTTCACAGGAGAGATGTAAAATATTAGAACATCTTAAAACAAGTTCTATTGCTAGTGTTTGGCTTCCTGAGTGAGGTAGATATCTAACCAAGCTAAAAGCAACTTGCCTTAAACTTGCATTTGGGATTAAACCTAAAGCATCGATTTCTCTCAACGCATTATTAGAGGATTTTGATCCCTGCAGTGCATTTCCTCACAAAAAAGTGTTTTTTTTTTGGTCTGTATTTATGTTTCCACTTGATGAGGACTGTAGGGCCACAGAATCCCTGAATAGTTGAGGTGAGAAGGGACTTCTGGAGATCATCTAAATCCAGTCCTGCCGCTCAGAGCAGGTTGCCCAGGCCCTTGTCCAGTTGGATTGGGGCCATTTCTAAACATAGCGACTTCTCCGAGCGCTGTCATTCCAGTGACAGCTCTTTCCATAATTCTTTTTCTTAGGTTTAAATGTAATTTATACCCGTAGAGGAGCTTCCCCCGAGCCTTTCAGTGTCCAGGCTGAACAATCCCAGCCCTCAGCTTCTCTCCGTATCCCGGACACTCCAATCCCTTCATCATCCGCGTGGCCCTTCCGAGTCGTTTCAGTTTCTTCCACATAACCACGTGTCGGACCCTTTGCAGCAGTTCCTGAGAGGACGAGCAGCCTCCAATTCATTCACAGGGTGATTTGAGTGTATTTTCCTTTTCCATTGCCTTCTCCGGTGTGGCACTGTTCTTTGCCCTTGGAAAAATCCTTTCCTTCCCCATTTCTTTTGCAAGTAGAGTGCCTTCACTGCCACACACCCAGCATGGTCCTGCCATCCCCGGAGCCTCTGCTTGCTCTGTGCCCTCGCATTTAGGGCGGTATCTCCAATGGGAACAGAGGGAAAGGGTTTTTATCCCTAGCATAGTACGTTGGGAAAGGGGAAAACAACGAAACACCTCCCAGTTCCCCCCAAAGAGCCCAAAACGTGTGCGGATTTGGCCAAGGCTTGGGTTGGGTTTGGGTTGTAGTTCAAGGTGGGCACTTAGCCCAGCTCCCCTTCAAATCCACTGGGATCAGAGTCAGCAAATCCCGCTCCCCGGGAGAATTCCAGGTCCGTTTGCTTACACCGCATGGACCATCATGTCCCCGGAGGTCTCACTGTCCTCCTACAGTTTGAGTTCAGTTGTCAGGCTCGCAGGTACCCACGGCCTAAGTCTCTCATAGTCTCTCATAGTGAGAGATTAGTAACTAAGTTTTGGAAAACAGTTCGGCGTTCCCGTGTTTCTTGAGCCCAAAAGGTGTGAATTTAACCTTTTTTTAGAAAGGAATAGCTGCCAATGCAGTCAAATATATTTTATAAAAGGATGATCCCTATATATCCCTTGCGGGATGGAATTTTATTGTTTTTAAGCTATGGTTTCGAGTTTTTATACGAGGGCTTGGGGCACGTCTTGGTCGCTGGCTTTCCCCTCCAGCCCCAGGACGTGAAGAGCTTTGAGACCCTCGTGGTCTCCCTCTCAGACGAACCATGAAGTATTTTATATGCAAAATAGGACGGGAGCCTCGTGCACCCCGCAGGGATGGAGGGAATGCAGAGGCAGGAGCAGCCGTTGTTCCCGGATCCGCTGCGACTTCCACACTGGGAGAATACGGAAAATAGCTCATTTTCATCCAGATCGATGGCGTTGGAGTTTTGCTTAAAGGCGGAACCCAGTTTAGGAGGGTTCTCACCTCCGAGTTTGGACATAATCAATTCCACGACAGATAAGAGGGTTCCAGGCTGCTCTTCAGCCACATCAGAGGTCCCCAGTACCTAGAGTTGGTTCAGAGCATCTGAGCACGACCGAAATGTGAATTTTCTTCTACTGCAGCCGGGGTTTTTGTTAACTCAGCGGGTGCTCTCGCCGTAATCCAGCGTCCCACGGGTCTCGCCTGCAAACCTGCACTACACAACGAGCTGAATCGGGTTCTGGTGCTGCCAGCCCGCGGGGCAACTGTCCCTACAGTCTTCCTGAGGGTTGCTGGAGCGCCCAGAGGACTGATTTTCTTTCACCATTCGTTCAGCTGCTGCATCCTGTGATATTCCGACGTAGCGGCCCGGCTCCACCGAGTTACCGACCAGCTTCCTTGCCCCGTTCCCTCAGTGCCTTCCCTCGAGGCGCTGCCCTTTGCTGAAACCCCGCCGAGGGGACGAGTAAAGCTGGAGCAAAAATGTGAATTCAATTCTTGTTGGGCTTCTTTGTGCATTTTAGTAACAGTGAAACCCCCTTAACTGTGCCAGTCTCCGGTCACCAGCCGTATATGCAGTCATCATCTCATCCACCGTACAGCTTCTCTTGTTGATGCTGGCCACAGCTAGATTACTTGGCATGTTTATTGACTTAACAAGAATTGTTTTTTGGTTTTGGTTTCGTTTTTTAATGTATACGATGTTTAAATACACTTCACATTTTATATAATACTATCTGGCTATTAGTATTTTTCAGGAACCATAGTTCTTGGTGGCTATATATATTTTTGTGACTTTTTTTGTAAACTAAGTGCCGTTTCAACGTTACAATCATTTTTAGAGTTATTGTAATCAATGTGAATATCATGGGTTTTCAAATCTGTTCTGAGCCTGTAGTGTTTGCTTTGTGATCATATGTGTAATGTATATATTCTGTATAGTTACATTGTATTGAAATACTAGCTTGTTTGATATAAGAAAAGTATGTATTGGGTACCTTTTTGCTAGCCTGGTTGTTTAATCTTTAAAAAAAAATGTTCTAAAATACAAAAAAAAAATCTCCAAACTGGTCCCGTTATAGGTCAAAATTAAGGGGGGAGAAAAACTAGTTT